CTTCGAGCGCAGATATTGCCTGGGGAAGGCTAAGGCTTGACGGCAGGTAACAACTATAGAAAGCTATACCATTCACATGGGTCCTAGCGAAGCAATTTCAGCATTTTTTCTTGCTAATCTGTCGCCTTGAATTACCGCAGCTCCATATTGCCGATTTATTGCTATTATTTGTTACCCATTCTCCGGAATTTTTATTCCTGTATTGCTGGCTTATGAGTGTCATGTCTACGTTTTTCTCGATGACACTTTGCCTAACCCTTGCATAGCCCTCCTGAAGTACGGGCATTTCCCACTCATTGTTGGGTGATCTCAATCTTTCTCCTTTTTGCGTTTGCATAGCATACAGCAGGCCTTTGCTTTGCAGCCTCTGGCTTGGTGCTCCTTTGTTCCACATCGAACTGTGATTGAACGCACATAAGATGTCCGTTTTGTCGGTGGTCTCATCGATGTCTTTTACCTCGATCAGCATTGTCTCAGTCAGCGCTCTGACGTCAACATTGTTGCCCAGGACAGCCTTCATTGTGGTCTGAAGCTCTATGGTTTTAGGGTCAGAGACCTTGTTTAGAATGACTAGGAGTTCCCCCTTAGCTGTGCGCCTAACGGTCTGTACTGCTTGTCCTAGCTCCTTAAGCTACCTTAACCTTTTTAAGGATGTCGGCATAGGACCCTCCAGCGGATGCTGCGATGACTTGGGCTTCCTTACCTTCTGGCTTCTTCCCAGGTTTTTGGGGCTTGCTGGTGCTCACTGTCCCAGCATGTTTCCCTTTATTTACACCTTGACTGGCATCAATTGCCGGTGCCTTATGCATCGCCTTTTTCGCTGGTACCGCTAACGTCATCCCAGTTTCTTGACCAGCAGGTTTTTTAAGCTATCTCCTTAGCTTTTTCCTGTTCTTCGACTATGCGTTGCACAGCCGACAGGACTTCCCACTGGAGATAGTCAATTTCATCGACTATATCCCTCATGGGGTTTGTAATGGAACGCTTTCCTTCCATTAGCTTATTCAGCTCCCTGGCCTTCGATCCCAGGCCAGTCAGCTGTTTCAGCATATACCCCTGCTCCTCATCAGCAGCTTTTGGGCTGCTTTTTTCTCCTGCTGGGGGTGCCAGGCTGCCTGCCACTGCACTCCACCCTTTTTTCTGGCGATTTCGCCATTACACTGCTTTTTTAAACGGGTCAGCTCCCGAGTTGGCCCAGTCAGGTAGACTGGACAAAGGCGTGTGGAAGCCGTCGGCAATAGCCGGCGCCGTGTTGTGCCCCCGATCCCCTGCCCGCCATTTCCCCGCCTGGGGAGTTCAGTGGTACTGCAGGAAGCTTGGATCTTTACCCGCAGTATCCTGCTGTTCTTCGATCGGACTTTACTATTTTTATAAATTATTTAATGAAAGTAATAAATCTTAGTAATAAGGTTAATTTTTTTCTATTTTCTAATTTTTAAAAGAGCCGCCCAAAATTCGCTACGTGCTGCGGCACGCACTTATGTGCTTGGCCTGCACCCTCTCCGAAGCTTGCTGCTATAGCACCCGCAGCACACTACGATCAGCTGGTCGCGCAAGCACTTTCCACCACTGATTTAGTGTTTGCGAAAATAGAAAGGGCGAGTGAAAAAATTTGCCAACTGCTAAACAAACATCGAGTGGAAAGTATAAGAGGCAGAGATGCCTCCCCTCCCTCACCTACGACCGGCCCCTGCCTGGCCGCCAAACCTGTTGGGGGATAGATCCCCAAGCTGCTCCTGGATGTCGTCCACGGCCTCCCATCTGCACTTCTGGCTTTATGTTGAAAACTTTAAGGAATAAACGGAGAGATTTTAGAACGCGTCCGCACTATCTGCTTTCACAACTCTCTCTCTGCGCGAGTGTGTGTGTGATTGCAAGGGAGGATGGGAGAAAACGAGGGCCGAGGCCACTGTTGTGAGCAGCTACATGCGAGGTGTAAGCTCGATGTACCACCTGTGTGCCGTCAGAATTTCGAGTGCCTTCAGGAAGATCTCGGACGACGCTGCGCTTGTCATCGCAGGCCAAGTTCCCCTGTGTGAACTGGTGCGGGAGGCCAAGGAGATACGCGCGGCTCTAGCAGGCGAACAGGCGGACCACAGTACCAAGACCGAGGTGAAGAGAAGGGCCAGGATGCAGAGCGTCGACAACTGGCAGGCAGCCTGGTACAACTCCAGCAAGGGTCGCTGGACGCACCAGCTCATCCCCAGCATAGAGCCATGGGTAAATAGGAAGCACGACCAGGTAGATTTTTACCTCACGCAGGCGCTGAGTGGACACGGCTGCTTCCGAAGCTTCCTTAAGCGCATCGGGCACGACACGGAGGACGGTTGCCCAGAGTGCGGCAGTGGCATTGTCGAGGACGCTCAGCATGTCCTTTTTGAATGTCGCCGCTTTGGCTATGACCGCCAGATACTCATGGAGACCACCGGGGCAAGAGTTCGGCCAGAAACTTTTGTGCCCCTCATGCTGCTGAAGGAGGCGAATTGGGAAGCGACGGCAGCCTACGCAGCGAGTGTACTGCGAACGCTGCGTCGCACCGATAACGAGAGGAGAGAAGCTAAGGTGGCTACCATTGCGCGAAGCAATACCTTGCGGTGATACCGCGCAACCACGGCCCCCTACTCCTGTTCTTGTACTTACTTTTTTCTCTGTATATAGTTGTAGGGAATAAATGAATATTAAAAAAAAACGAGACCAGAGCCCTGTGTAGGATTCTCCTCAACACCAGAGGACCGAAGCAAGAAAAAAGGAAGCTGCTTGCGAGTGTCACCACATGGCACTTGCTATACGCAGCAGCGGTGTGGTCAGACGCGGCTGAGGTAAAAACCTATCGCCTGAGCGCCTGTAGGGTTGCGAGCGCCGTTAGGACGGTATCGGACGACGCAACTCTTGTCATTCAGAGCCAGAGACAGAATAATGTAAAGGTGAAAAAGCTGGTGGTAACACTCCACAAAAGGACGCTGGACCAACAGACTTATTCCAGACAGCAGGCACTGGATAGGACGTAGTCACACTACTACTACACACTACTACTAGGGGATAACTACTTTATAAAAATGAATCAAAATATCTAGTATCTTAGTAAGTTATATCCTTTAAAATAACAATTCGATTGCTTCGACTCTCAGCACTTAAATCGGTATTGATCATCCTGATAAAGAATATATATAATTTCTAGTGTCGGAAACGAGTTTAATTTACCCTTTTACTTTACAAGTAATGGGTAACAGTATTTTCCCATATTTATTTAAAATATATTTTAATGTGTTATGTATTCGTCGCTGTGGTACCAAGGTTAGAAAACAGTTATGAAGTGCAATGAATGTTATTTATAAATGTTCTGTAAGCTAAAAAGATGAAAAGAAAGGAATGGGACTAGGTGAGTATATGGGAAAAAAATGGCCACCGCCCACTTACTAAATAGCATATTAAAGGCCCCCGCCCTTCATTAATGTATGCGGGTCCAAGGACAATTAGCATAATCCATAAATTTGTTGAGTTTTAAGTTGGAATCAGCTGGAAGTAAACCGATATTGGGACAGACAGGCTATCGATAGCGTTGGCAGGGTTACCCCAATGACGGAGGCTCCCCCAATTTGTTGGCCATTGGGAGATCTAGCTATTTAAATGAATCAGCCAATCAGTCAGGCGGAAGCCCGAAATAAGTGTTTGTGCCTAAAACGGAAGAAAAGTGAGTGATGGAGAACTGAGTGGTTAGGTGTGGTAGTTTATTCCTTTAACTATGAATAATACTCCGTAGGGCAACCGGCGTCCCAACACAAAGAACCCCAGGATATTTAATTGGCTGCAGGCATCCCGTGTCCGTTTGACCCGCTTGGAAAAATTGGAAATACTTGGACACCCTATTGTCGCTTCCTCAGTCGCCGCCGACGCCAGCTAAAATTTCCCGGTGAGTCCAGACTACTACGTCCACATCAGCTTGGGCTCAGAAACAGTATAGCGGGTTACGCGTTACCGTTACTCGTAGAGTAAAAGGGTATACAAAATTCGTCGGAAAGTATGTAACAGGTAGAAGCAAGCGTTACCGACCCCATAAAGTATATATATTTTTGATCAGATCGAGATCACTAGGCGAGTCGCTCTAGCCATGTCCGTCTGTCGAGATCTCGGAAACTATAAAAGCTAGGCTATTGGGATTTGGCATGCAGATTCCTGAGCTTCTTGCGCAGCGTAAGTTTTAGCAGGGTGCCGCACCCACTCTAACGCCCACAAACCGCCCAAAACTGTGGCTTCTACAATTTTGAAGCTAGAATAAACATTTTAACTGAATTGTATTGCTCTCATCAATACCTATCGATTGACCCAAAAAAAGTTTTGCCACGCCCACTTTAACGCTCACAAGCCGCCCACAAACATAAAAAAATCTTTAATATGAACGCGGAAATCTCAAAAACTATAGAAGATAGAGAATTGGATTTCTGATTTCGGTTTCGTAGCCTTGTACATGTTTGTTACGCGAAGATGCCACGCCCACTTTAACGCCCACAAGCCGCCTAAATCTGTGGTGCCCACAATTTTTATGCTAGATAAAAAATTTTAAATGAAATGTATTAGTCTTTTTAAGACCTATCGATTGATCCAAAAAAAGTTTGCCACGCCCACTCTAACGCCCACAAACCGCCTTAGCCTGTGGAGCCCACAATTTTCATGCTAGAAAAAATGTTAACTGAAAAGTAGTAGTCTCGTCAATACCTATCGCTTGACCGCAAAAAAAGATTGCCACGCCCACTCTAACGACCATAACGCCTAAATCTGCCTACCGCCCACATAACCATATATTGAGATTTCATTCTCGCTATGCTGCTTGCATATCTCCATTTCCCTTTGGTCCCTTTAGGTGAGCAACGGGTATCTGATAGTCGAGGTAATAGACTTTACCGTTCTCCCTTGCTTGACATATTTTCTTATACTAGTGCGAATATAATTTTTTTTATTTTTAGGAAATTTGAAATAAATTTAAGGAAGGGAATACAAACTTCGGTTTGCCACAGTTAACTTCCTTTCTTGTTTTATTTGTAAATTTATCCGGAATTAGAACCGAGAACCTTGTTGTCCTCGTCGTTAGCCTGTAAGAAAGGTCGCGATTGTAAGTTTTCAGTGGTATAGTTTACAGCGCATATTACTTACTTTTCCCCTGGAGCTCCTCAGGATTAGGTGACCCTATTCGCGCATCGCGGGTATCCCTTGTTGTGAACCGTGTTTTTATACGAGCTCGACCATTGCATTAATGGTAAAGCATTTTATTTCGCGGCGCCTGTAGCCTTTTCCAGTGGAAAACGTATTCTCTGCTTTGACCGCGTAAAATTGAAGACGGCGGCCAAGTTTTGGTCTTGAAGACTAAAGACAGATAAATTAGCTATGAGGAGTACCAATGTAAAGAGTATACTTACCGTGTTATTTAAAAGTCTGTAATAACCGAAATGTGTGAGTGAGCTGTCCCTGTTGGGAAGATGGGGCGGCCGTAGACCGCCAAAAGTGATTTCGACCGTGGATGATGGGTGGCTGGGTGGTACTCTGCCCTCAGAAATTCCGGAGCTGGTAGGTGCTGTCCCGGTCGAAAATAGAGCAGTTCCGTAACATTATGGCGCCCAAGTTAAAAAAATATAAAATATCGAGGAGATGGCGTCTCGCAAAATTCCTTTTTTGTTCCCCTCTTGAAGCCCCCTTCACCGATGCATTGCAGGGCAACGGAAAGTTTCGTGCAACTGCATCGGATATGGGGTGGTCTGGGGGTGGGGTAGTAAGAAGGCAGGAACCCGAGCATGACAGGAAGCGCTGCCGGGTCTGGACCACCACGGATATCGGTCGGATTGCCCAGGACTCCGAAATTCCGGTTGCGAGAAAACCTGGATCAGGAGTTTGGCCTCAGTACCGACCCTCCTCCGCGGGTGGAATTTGAAGAGCTTGACCGCGGAGTCCGGTTTCAAGCACCGTATGTGGAACTTTGAAAATATGAAAATAAGAATCACGTATTTTTCTTGGGATATTATCACAAATCAAAATGATAATATATTTCTTCCTGTTGGCTCAATTTTTCATAATTTTTTTATAAGGAAAAAATTAACTCAAACACCAATTTTTAAAATTTTTAAACATTGACTAGAAGGAAAGAACGGAAATATATTGTGCATTACTTATACCTTGAAAGTCAGTTTAATGACGTTGTAAGCCAGTTTTGAATTTAGGAGAAAACGTGTCTGAATGGGAAGGAGTTGGCAACCATTCTTGTTAAAAATTGGTATTCATCTGCGGGAATCTATAAAATCAATAAACTATAAAATTAAATTGCAAATTTTAAACGGTTCTCCTGGGATTTCAGATGGTAAAATGAATTGTACGTATATCTTTTATTTAAGAGTCTGATATTTTTGATTATATTCTGCTAGCTGCATGTTATGAGATAGTGTCTGGGATTTGGGGTGATGATAATCCCATAAAATGATAAACGTTTAGTAACCCACTGTTAGGAAAAGATCAAAAATATATCAAAATATATTAGAGGATGTCATTAAAGAGGGGAGAGGGGGGAGGTCAGAACCAGTTTAAAAATTGTGTACATTGTTTAGAAGAAAAAAGGGAAAATCATAATGAATGTGCATTATAGGTAGCTGGGGCAACCATTTGAAAAGTCAAATCTGTTACAGTGGTGGGTGTGGCTTAGGGTCGAATGATAAAAGGATATTAGTTATAAAAGGATGGAAATATGTTAAATATGAATTACAGGTAACCGTATATGTTGCGGAGGAGGGGCGGGGTTGACAAACCATCATTATTAGCAACATATATTTCACCGGCGGGGAAATAGAGGGATCCAATAGATCAATTTTAATGCATTTACTTTATGAGAGAAAACTGAAAGAAATTAGTTTTTTTTAAGCATTTTTATGGAAAATCTAAGTATTGAATTAATATATATATTTTTAATTATCTAAATAGAAGAAAAGTAGGCAATACTATTTATTAGCATAGTGATTTTGTATAACTTATAAAGTATAATATACATATATATATTTTAATAAATATTGTGGCAAGCCGATCTGTATAAATTAATTTTATTTTTATTATTTTACCTAATGAATAATTAAGGTATAAATCAATATCTAAAATATTCCAATATATACAAAATTAAAGCTTTCATATATCTTTATAAAAACAAAAAAAAAGCGTTTCAACCCCCATAAAGTATATATATTTTATTTACTTAGGTTTTAACTCTTCCTAACGCTACAAGTGCAAGAATACTTATAAATTAGTGCGCTAGTCGCAATTCAATTTACTTCATTAACATAATAAAAATTTCCTAACTATATAGTTCTAATACAATACATTAAAGCTATGACATATGAACATTAAATTTGAAGATGTGTGTAACTTCGCTTTGAATTGCGTAGCAGACTTAATTATTTTTAATGGATGCGGTAGTTTATTCCAAGAACGTACAGCACAGATAAAAAAGTGCTTCTCAGCATAGGCATGTTTTACTTTTTGACAAACTAGATTGTTGGTTCTGTTGGAAGCGTTGAATTTTAGTTTACTAAGGAGATATTTTGGCTCGTACGTTGTTATTACTTTGTGCAACAGTACTAGTGTTTTGTACTCAATCCAGACTTTTAGCGGCATATCAAAAATTTTAAAAGTTGCATCAGAGATTCGATCTGTGCCCCTGCGATTAAATATATATCTCGCTACATTATTGAAGGCTACAAGGAGTTTGTGCTGGCTAGTAGCATCACAATTTCCAAAGACTTCGACTCCATAGAATAGTAATGGTGTCAGCTTAGTTTTCGCAATAAGCATTTTTAAATTTGTTGATAAAAAGGCTTTCGTGTCGTTAAGTTGTCTAAGTATCCCACACATTTTCCCAATCGTACAAATTACGTGATTACTCCAGGATAGAGTGGAATTTATTGTAAACCCCAAGTTGTTCGCTCTGTCTACACAGTTTAATTTTTGACCATTTAAGGAAAGTTTTTCCTGATGACCTGTGTTAAAACATCGGTTATGTATTACTATGCATTTTGATTTCAGGGGGTTTAAGGATAATCTATTTTGCTCTCCCCGTTTGCAAACCATGTCTAATTCACTGTTACAGACACAAACACATTCATTAAATTGGCTATCAAAATGCACTGCTATCTTAGACAAGGATGCCTAACTCATTATCCCCTTTTGCAGAATATGCTTAAATACTTGCACCTATCCTTGATTTATTAAGCCTGATTAGTTTTTTTTTTTGTTTCTGAAGGTTCTGGGGGTGGTATTGAAAATTTTGAAAATATTCCAACATCTGAGAAACAATAACTTGTGATGTTTATTTTATATCTTTTATGGGAGACATGAGAAAATCTGCGGTAGAGAGGTTGGTAAGAGCTCACCACCAGATTTTTATGTAATTAATCATGTTCACAATAATAAAATAAATGAGAAAATATTATAACAAGCTACAAAATATGCTTCTGACTTTAACTGTAATTAAAACAAGGAAGAACTCTATAGTCGAGTACCTCGACTATCAGATCCCCGTTAATCAAAGGGAAATGGAGATATGCAAGCAGCAAAGCGAGATTAAAATGCGCCACCTACCGGCGGTAGACAGATTTAAGCGTTAAGGGCGTTAGAGTGGGCGTGGAAAATTTATTTTTGGATCAATCGATAGGTATTGACGACACCAATACATTTCAGTTAAAATTTTTTATCTAGCATGCAAATTGTGGGCGTCAAGGTTTTCGCGGTTTGTGGGCGTTTAAGTGGGCGTGGCAAACTTTTTTTTAGGTCAATCGATAGGTATTGATGAGAACAATACATTTCAGTTAAATTTTTATATCTAGCGTCAAAACTGTAGGAGTTACAGTTTTGGGCGGTTTGTGGGCGTTAGAGTGGGCGTGGCAGTCTAATGAAACAAACTTGCGCTGCGTAAGAAGCTCAGGAATCTGTACGCCAAATCTCAATAGCCTAGCTCTCATAGTTTCCGAGATCTCAGCGTTCATCCGGACAGACAGACGGACAGACGGACATGGCTAGATCGACTCGGCTAGTGATCCTGATCAAGAATATATATACTTTATGGGGTCGGAAACGCTTCCTTCTGCCTGTTACATACTTTCCGACGAATCTAGTATACCCTTTTACTCTACGAGTAACGGGTATAACTATAGGTGCGGAGAATGGAAAATATTTTCTTGTTTTAGGTCTTGAGTATGGACTTTTATGGCGGTCAGGCAATGATAGGTCACGGTAAGTAGGGTTTTGGTAAATGAAGTTTATAAGAGTTCACTAAAATGAAGCTAGAAAATAATTATATACATATACTCGTATACACCTATCCCCCGCTTTGCGTCGTTTCGTTTTGCGTTTTTTCAAAGTTGCGTCGCTTCTTAATTAGAACTAATTTTCATTGTGCGTCGTTAGATTTTCGATGTCGCGTTGTTTTGGGATGAAGCGTTAATATAATTAAAAAAAAAATGTTCAGCAAACATTGGACCAATTTTTTTAAAGAAAGCCGTCTTACGACAACAGGCACTAAAGACTCGTCAGAGAGTGATTAATTCTAATTTTTTTTCTAATTTATTTTGTTTTAAAAGAATTTGTTTCTTTTTGTTTTTATATGTAAAATATGTAATAAAATGAAATGTTATTTTGGTTTTTTTTGATCACTTTGCTCAATTTTCTTTTTAAAAAGTAGTATTTTTGTAACCCTGGAACCCATCTTCGAACTTTACATGGTTTGCTATAGAAAATCCTAATTCACTTCGTATTTTTTTGGAACGTATCCCCGACGCAAAGCGAGGGATAGGTGTATATAAAATATTTTTAAATATATGTAGTACAAAATGATCATAATAATAAAATAAATGAAAAAACATGTTAATAAGCAACAAAATATGCTTCTAACTTCTTATTTGTAACTAAAACTACAGGTACGGGCAATGGAAAAATATTTTTTTGATTAAGGTATATCGGCTTCTTGAGAGATTCTACACAGTCCGGATTTCATCCCTTGTCAATGGTCTTAAAATGTATGCTGTAATGGACATGTGCGCGTGTTCGGGTAGCTCTTGCGTGAATCGCTTGCAGAAGTCCGGACGCTGAACCCAATCTTCGACGGGTTTCAATCATGTTCAATATTCGTACGAAGTTCATCAATCCTCGAGCCTTCAGTTCTTTCTTCAATTATCCTTTATCCTTTAACAAAATTCCCTTCATCAACAACTTATAAGAGACTAAAGCTTAGGCCACTGACTCCGAATTTCGGTAGAGGTGGACAAAATATGGCGACACTTGCTGTCCCGTTACTATGTTTCTTACAAAGATCTAATTGGTTCGAGAAAACAACAGAGGTGAGTCTTTTTTTGATTTTATTCTAAATTCGCACATATTCTTCTGCAATAGGGGCAATGTCCCTACCTTCATAACTAAAACTTGTCAAAAGATCACAGATCTAACATTGATATCAGACTCGCTCGTAGGCGCAGTCAAAAACTGGGCAGTCTGTGACGAGCACTCTTTTTCAGATCATAGATTCATAGAAACAATATTGTCCCTTGATTCACCGTTCCCGTACATGGAAACCAAGGGGAAGGAAAAAACCACCCTGGTGAACCCAACAACTATTAATACTCAGAACCAACTGCAGATGCCTGTTTAACAGAGTAAGGCTCAGGAAAATATTCTCTAGGACAGCCGAGCCTTTGGGCTATCATCAGAAGGCAAATGGATCATGGTCAGACTCCAGTAGAGAGTCCTTGGACCTGCTCCTAGACGCTCACTTCCCAGGGAGCCCCCAAAAAGGTCACCCTCCAGAAAGAAGTGCCGGAGATGGAATCAAATTAGACTAGTGAACAGAGGCACCCCGCGGTGTACTATCATTTCTCCTGTGGAATATCGCAGTAAATAAACTAATGCGGATTTTGAGAGGAGGAGGTAGTAAGGTAGTGGCATACGCAGACGATGTCGCCATCATCTTTAATGGAAATATACACAAACACTTTGCGATCTTATGACCGCTAAACTTATAATACTATCGGAATGGACGATAGAGAACGGACTTGGGGTAAATCCCTCAAAAACGGAAATTATTCTATTTACAAATGGTTACAAAATTCCACAGCTCAGCCCACCTATTCTAAGCAATTGTAATCTCTCTTAGTATTAGGTTAGTATTAGATAAGGGTCTCAAATGGGGCTTAAATAAGCAAGAGAGAAGAAAGAAAGCGACCATTACACTTTACTCCTGTAAAAAA